TTATTTTGATACAATACAATATTTCTCACTTTTTAAATATATAAAAGAGAGGGCCTGGACAAGGAAAGAAGGTACTTAAAAAAAAAAATTAAATTATAAAAAATTTCATTTCAATAGTAAAGTTTCATTTAAATTAAAATACAGCAAGTCCAGTAAATTTATGAATTTTTTTATTTTTTCTCAAAGAAGTGATATTAACAAAAAAATAAGAAACTAGACTTTATTTATATTTGTTCTAGTGGTTTTTTTGTAATCCATTTTATTCTTACTGTTGCTGTTTTTCTTGTAACTATTTGTAAAGAGAAAGGTATCCTGCCTTTTTTCCTCAGAATATGCTCTATTTATGAGGTCTTGCCTCTCTCAGAACAGTCATTAATAACATCAAGTCCCTTAACTGTTGCTCTAAGTTCTAGATAAAAATCGTTGAATTTCCAAAATTCTTGTGGAGTCTTCATCCATTGAATTTCTGCCTCTCCATGCCTGAGCATGCCAAAAACTAGACACGACTTTTCTGTTATTAATGTCAAAATAGGAGGCTTACCTTGGTCCATTACCTGGCGCTCCATAGGAAAACTGTCACTTGGACATCTTTGTAAACTATTCAGTTTTTTGGCCATATCACCACATTTCCTACATTCTTTATCTGCTAGAGCAAAAATTACTAAAGTAGGATCTAGATACCAAGTATGTCTGAGAATAAAGTTGCAACAGCTTGAGAGCCAAGTAGGTTCCATTCCTTAAACCTTTTCATTTGCCAGTAAGCTTTAATATCCTAATAAATAATATCCATTAACATTTTGAACTTTAATCAATAATGAGCTTTTTAACTTATTAAAAAAAATACTCAAAGACTGATACCTGTGTTGGTGCCAAAGAACTTAACTTTGCTTTTAGAAACCACTCTGTATAGAAAAAACAAATGAGTAAAGCCATACCAATTTTTTTTTTCGTTATGTTTGTCAGTCATGTTTTGGATTTCATTCTTTAAAAGATAAAATTTAACAGAAAATGAATAAAAATAAAAATATTACCTTTTTGAAGATTTTTAAACTGATCACATTATGGCAAAACTGAACAGCAGCTAGTTTTTGATTATATATCTACATTCCAGGTGGTATTATTATTCTTTTCAGTTCCTTAATTTCAGCATCGATACTTTTTATTTCAATACTAAGTATTATCTTCCAGTTTTGTTTTATTTAAAAACTTTGGCATATAAAATTCGCCGAATGGTCACACACGAGCAGTGAACGCCTAAGGGAAGAAATGAAGTCCATTAGAATAAAGGAGAATTATTTATTAGACAAAGCATATTTTGACAGTTGTCAAGACAAAAATAAAGATTAATTAGAGGAATATTTAAAAATAAATAAGGCTATACACCCACAACAATAATAACAACAGAAATAAATTAAAAAAAAAAAAAAAATTGTTTTATAAACACCAGTATGAACGAAGATATATATCACCAGACAAAAACTTGTAAAACAAAAAACGGATCACAAAATAAAAATTCTGATAACAACAATGAGAGGCATTTAATAATGGAAAAAAAACATTAATGATAATGTGTAAACATAATTTGTGTAGTGATTAAGTAATGAACATCTCCTCAGAGTTGCGTCTATTATTACTGGCGTTTCGATTAGGATCAGAAGTTGCTTGAGTAAATCTTTTTAAGAAATGTGTTGTTCAATTACATGCAATTTCTACATGCAATTAACAACAAGAGACGTTGAACTTGTTGAGTTATTCTCATGCAAGTACCTTGCCATTTTCTTGTGTTTGCTAAAGTTGTGTCAAAACAGAGACATTTAACCTTATCTTTTAATCAAAAAAATTCCATCATTTCTACAATAGCTTGCTTTTGATTAACCTCTGAACTAGAATCTATCAAAGGAATGCTAAGTAGTTCTGTTTTCACATCAATCCTTATCAAAACTGCAATTCTATCTTTTTTAAATTGCTTTCCCTTTGTTAATTCATTAACAATTTTTCCATCAAAGTGTATAGTCATTAGTGAATGTGATGATATTACAGTATTTTTTATGGGTTCTTTTATTTCTTTAGCCTCGACAGATATTATTTTCTCTGCAGCTCTTTAAAATGTGGATTTAGAACAATTAAAGTTTGCTACAGAAGCACTAGCCATGACAATAACACTTGTTATCAATGCTGTATGTTGTTGGGGTGTTATACCTTCTCCCACTGCTGTATGAGCAGTTGACTAAGGAATATTTTTAGGAAGAAGAACAGAATTTTGAATATTAGAATGCGTATTAAAATCGAAGTCAACATCTGTTTGCTTCTCTAATTTGTTGCTAGTGTAACTAGTAGAACTTTGATAATCTAAATCATTCTTATATAATTCTGCTTATGGATTTCTATTTAACTTTTATGTGCATCTTTTACTTCTTACAACAGAATACTCATATCTTTTACCTCTATCTTCAAGTCATTCTTTTTATTCACTAAGCTGGTCTTTTATGAAAGCAATATCTTTTTCTTTCTCTTTGTCTTTCACTTTTCTCATTTTATCTTTTAATATTTCATGAGGATGTTCTCCAATCCAAAATATCTTATTCATTTTATTAATAATTATATTTATTAATTTCTTTAGCAGTTTCAAATTTTTTTTGCTGGAAGTTGTTCGATTAACTTTTTAATTAAAAATATTCTATCCAATCTAATACTTCTAACTTTTTTTTTGGTGGCATTATATTAATTATTTAAGTATACAATCTAAAAAAAAAATTAATATAAAATACATTTCAAGAAAACATTTTAATTAATAAAAAATTTAAAACTTTATTTATAAAAATATTTAAAAAATGTACAGTGTAAAAATATTTTTATTTAATATTTATGGATTAGAGTTTTTAAAACAATTTTTTTGAGTTTTTAATTTCTTTTTGAGAGTAGAGTCCATTTTAATTGGATCAAGTCTTCACAAACTTAAATATTAAAAAAAAATCAAAAACTTTAATATCAAGACTTCCTCCAAATTGTTTTAAAAATAGTACAAAATGGTTTAAAAATTGCCCCTTCTACCCCCTGAAGGTACCTTTACGATTTTCAAAAATTAAAAAAAAATTTTTTTTTAGTACTAAATCACGGTTTGGGCAGATGATAAGCGAGGGCTCTTTTTTTTTGGAGACATGGTCTTTTTTTGAAACACCCTAATAGATAAATAAATAAATATATATATATATATATATATATATATATATATATATATATATATATATATATATATATATATATATATATATATATATATATATATATATATATATATATATATATATATATATATATATATATATATATATATATCAGGCTTGATATATATATATATATATATATATATATAATATGATATATATATATATATATATATATATAATATATCAGGCTTGGTCGGGAAGCGGGAGCTATCGCTCTCGATTGCTGACCGTAAATAATATTTAGTTGCGAAAAGCTGGCCAGATTTTTTAGTCTTTTTGAGAACATTTTAAAAAGCAAAAAAAAAAAAGCATCAAAGATTAATTGGACCGATGAGAGACAATTACAAAAAAAAAAAAAAAAAATTACCAAATAAAATATCTTTAAACGCGAAATAAATTACATTTAGAACAAATATTTTCGAAACATTGCTCTTTTATAATTTTTTTTTATAAAATTAAGCGATGTTTTTTATATAAAGTAACAACTTACGATTGTTTTATATGTGAAACTAATATTCTTTATTTAACTAAGTTTGCAAGTTTTAGTTTTACTTAAGCTTAATTATTTTATAAATAAAAAGTTAATTTTTTTAAGACCTATTTTCTGTTTCGCGTAGTTTAAAAAGTTTAACATATTTGAAGCGATTCTTCTTAGTAAGATAAACAAATGAAATAATTAAATCATTAAATTACTATAAGAATTAAATTATCAAGATAGAAATCAACTAAAAAGGTTAAAAATACTAAATGGCCAGGAAGCGAAACTGCTTCACAATATCGCTGATGATGTTTAGTGAGTGGGCGTTTTAATTTTAATTAGTACTTAATGCAGGAAAAAGTATAACGAGTTTTAAGAATGGCAATTTAAGCGAAAATAATTAGAGTTAGTAAACCTATATCTAGAAACTTTTCTTTATACCTAAATATATTTGCTATATATATTTGTGTTCTGTCGTGACCTCAGGCGTGATGCTTGTTTATCCGCGAGTTACTTTGTATGCGTTGTTTGTGTTTAGTAATCAGAAACTTTTTATATGTTTGTTACATAATTAGTTTTATTAACTTTACTGATTATAACTTCATTGAAAACGCAATTATTTTTGTAAGTCTTTGTTTAAATCATAAAAATTGCTTTAAAAGATACATTACGATAAAAAACAAACACACAAAAATACATTTACATAAAGAATACAATCTCTTTTAAAATAAAAATTAAGAATATACTAATAAAATCAATGGTTTATAACAAACTTTTAAAATTTTAACAATTTAATTAATATATATTTAAAACATTTATTTTCGTAAACAAATAATATATATTCTTAAAACAATGCTAGAAATCTCAAAACATAACAAATCGTGAATAATACAATTTCTAAAACATTTTAACAGAATACTCTAGAACTTTATTTCGCTTAATCAGCATATTTTTTAAATCAATAGAATTAGTTTGTTTGTTAATTTGGCGGGTTTTTAGTGTTTGCAAATATTCTTTTTATTCTTTCGCACAAAGATGTTTTGAGAACATTCAAGTTTTTTATGTTTCCATGTATGTTCGTAAAACAAAAATTTTTTGTTTCGTACATAAACTTAAATGTTCTCAAAACGACTAAAAAACCTGGCCAGTTTTACGCAACTAAATATAATTTTCGTGGTCAGTATTCGAGAGCGATTGCTCCCGCTTCCCGACCAAGCCTGATATAAACACACATATGTTGTTAAACTATTATCTGTATTTTAAATTAGTTTAACTTCAAATATTTTTATCAAAAGGTTTATCAAACAAAGAGTAACAATTGGGTAGTTATTGGGACATGGTCTGAAAGTCAGAAGAGTGACTCATTTGTTTTTACTGAAAATTCAGTTTCTGGTAAGTATACTGCTAAGGCAACAGGGATCTATTATTTGTCTGCTAATGTTATTTTTAAAGACAGCAATGGACCAATTTATATTATGATAGCTGTCAATAATCAGTTATCAAAACGAACTGCTTTATATGCAACAAAAGGAAAACTATCAGTAGTTCAAGACAGTCTTAGTGTGTCTGGAGCCTTATTTACTAAAAAAGGTATAGTTATTTATTTATTCATTGTTTGTTTTATTTTTTAGTTTATCATATTAGCTTTTCAATTTTTGTTAAATGCAATATTTATTGAGAAATATTTATTAATAAATCTGATTGCATGACATTAATTTATTGTTATTGTTTGGTGCAATTGAGTTAATACTGACATCAGTTGCCAGATGTTCATTAGATTAATACTGATATTTTCTTTAGATTCTTATGTTAATGTTTATGTTATGATTGAAAATGATAATAGCTGGTCCATAGATATCGATTCAACTTTTTCAATGGTGTTTCGTGGGTATCAGACAAATATTTATGGTGTAACAACAGTTCTCACAAATAGTTTAACTTACACTACATCTGGTTGGTTTGAGATTGGAAAATTGAAATCTCAAATTGCAGCAGGTCCATTTTTTGATTTTTGGGGAGGATTTAATCCAGACACTGTAGAGTAAGTAGCTAAAAATGTACATTTTTTTAAATTTTGTTTTTAGATTAATTATACTTGTATCTTTATTTCTTTTTCAGTTTTGTTGCTTTTAAGCAGGTTTTTACATTGTGAGTGCTGGAATAAAAATGGTTCAGACAAGTGCAGTTGGTTCTACATTTACTTTAAATGTTGCTGTTAATCGAAATCCATCTACTTTATAATACCAAAATGGAATACAAGACTATCTTTAAAATGGTTATGTTGCGCCTACTACAAAGTAAATACCTTTCTTGTAGTTTTGTTTTATTCTTTTTAGAAAAATTTAAATTTTGTAACAAAAGCAATTAAAATATTTTTAAAAACATTTATTTGAGTAAAACATCAAATAGTGTTATTTGTTGACTAGTTTAGGACATTTATAGTCATGGTTTAAGAGAGGTCCAGGGGGTCTTGGATGAACTTCCTCCCCCCCCTCCCATCTCCTTTTTTTTTTTTTTTTTTTTGAAACATAAAATACAATTTAAAAACATATTTTTTTTTGTTTAAGTTTGAGAAACAATTTATTTTCATTATTTCAAATTGGTGAATTAAAACCTCCTATTATATCAAAAACAAGCATAAGTTTTGTTTTGTTCCTTTTAAAGATACTTCACTTATTTGTAATTTTCTTAAGAATGACTGTGAATTTTATATATATATTTTTTTTGGCAGGTAATAAATTATAAAAGTATTTAGTATTGAGAAATGTGACATTGGAATAAGTCTTAACATTCAATGCCACAAAACTGGATTTCTTAGAAAACAAGGTTTTGTCCAATTTAAAGATCTTTCTTGTGAAAAACAAAAAGAAATAATATGGCGAGCAAATTTAAAAGGAAAACATAGTTCAATAAGAATTGTATGTTTTTATCATGAGCAATTCTATGGAAAATATTTTGAGAAAAAAATTAAAGTGCTGCAATCCTTTTGGAACACACAAGGAAAGTAAAAAAATTACTATAAAAGGTAATCTAACATTATTTACAACAGAATTGATATGGAAGTTAAAAGAAAAACAATTTATCAGTTAAAAGAAAAACAATTTTTATATGTTTAGTTATTTTAAAAACCTAAAAATAAATTTTCTTTTTAGGTAATATAAAGATTTCCATAGACATGGCAAAATTTTTGCAAGAAAATAACGTTTATGTAACCCCAGGTTGGAAATTCTGCAGTAAATGTTACAAAAAAGCAATAGAAACTGAAGAAGATTTAAATTCACAGGATGAACAGGAATCAAAATTAAGTTAGATACCACTATAGAATTGCTTAGAATTTCACCAGTCAAACTAAAAGGTCTTTCAAAACACACTAAATTGCCTAAAGCAAAACAAAAGTTTAAGAACACTATTGACAGAGTTGCAAAAATGGTCTCATTGGCATATAATATTAAAGAAACTTCTTTAACAACAAAAATGAAAAATTTTAAACAACAACATTAACAATGACTATGATCTAGTGATTTTAATGTTATTTTAATGTTGAATTAAAAAAAAAAATTTAGAGACTGACTCTTATTGCCATAAGGTGCAAATGTTAACCCTTGCACCAAAATCATGGACTTGTACAAAGATATCAAGCTACTTTGAAGTGTATGAGTATCTTGCACGAACTGCAAGAAAAGTTAAAAATGAGCATGGAATTCTATCATTGCCTGAAAAAAAAACTGGAAACTCACGTTCATCAGAAACAGTTAATTTAGTGATTAACTTTTATCAAAGTGGCGAATTTTCAAGAATGATGCCAGGAAAAAAAGATTGATGTAATAAAAAAGAAAATGTTCTAAGTGTGAAATACTTTTCCGATGGTTGTGCAGTACAATTTAAAAATTTAAAATTTTTTATCAATCTTTGTCATCACAGTAAAGACTTTGATTTTAATGCTGAATGGGTATTTTTTGCTGCCAGTCATGGTAAATCCCCTTGTGATGGTATTGGTGGGACTGTTAAAAGAGTAGTGTGTCAAGAGAGTCTAAAACAAATAACTACTGGGCAGATTTTAGATGTTAATTTAATGTACTGATTTTGTAAAGCCAAAATAAATGGAATTTGTTTTAAGTTATTTTCAAAAGAAGAAATCGACCAAACACGATTGCAATTAGAAAAAAGTTATTCAGGTGGAAGAACTGTTCTTGGTACAAGGATGTATCATCATTTTATTCCAATTGCTCTTAACACTATAATTTATAAAAAAACAAGTATTGATACATGCACTGAAATATTTGATATCATTCCAAAAAGCAAACATAATGTAGAGATTTCATTGAACATTAAAAAAATGGATTATATTGCATGTTTTTATGATGGATTTTGGTGAGTAGGGATTGCTGAAGATGTAAGTGACCTTGATATAAAAGTCAGATTCATGCATCCACATGGACCAGGTAAAAATTTTAAATCGTAAAAAGATCTAGAAAATAAGAGGTATTTATTGATTTGAAATAACTAAAATAAATTGTTTCTCAAACTTACATTTAAAAAAATATATGTTTTTAAATTGTAATTTAATAATTTTTTATTATTTATTCATTTTATGTAAAAATAAAAAAAAATAAAAAATTTCGGTATATAGGGGAGGGTAGGTACATTGGTCAATATATAGGGGAGGGTAGGTGCATTGGTCAATCAAGACCCCCTGGACCTCCCTTTAACCAGGACTATAAATGTCGTAAACTATTCAACAAATAACACTATTTAATGTTTTACTCAAATAAATGTTTTTGAAAATATTTTAATTGCTTTTGTTACAAAATTTAAATTTTTCTAAAAAGACACCATTTTAAATGCAAACTTTGATCAAGTATTAGCAAGACAATTGATGAATTTAATTTTTTAACTCTTTAATTTAAAAACCTAAATTTAAAAAAGAAAAAGAAAACTTACCACTCCTGAAAACACCAGTTGCAGTGTTCATTTAGTTGCTCTGCCAATATTTAACTTTAGACCAATCAGAAGCACTCTGCTGTTGATCAAGTGTTGGATCTATCATTAACTGCATTCCAGATGAATATAAATTATTGGTAGAGCTAATGAAAACGATTTGCATAGAGCTGTCTTGACTTATTGTATAAGATGGATAAGCAACAGATTGAATATAAAGTGCAATGCTGTCACCTGCATTAACTAATACCAAACCAGATACAACCAATGAGTAAAAATCACTATTTAAAAGACCAAAAAAAGTAAAGTATACAAACTAAATAATAAAGGATTATAATTAACTTAAAAAAAAAATAAAAGACATTTTAACTTACTAAAAACTAAATAGTAAGACATAATTTACTAAAAACTGATAAAATAAAATTATTAGTACCTATTAGTAACAAGCACATAAAAAATTTATAATTTTAACTTTGCTTTTTCAAAATATTTTAACAATGAATAAAACAAAACTACAAGAAAGGTATTTACTTTGTAGTAGGTGCAACATTTTGAAGATAGTTTTGTATTCCATTTTGGTATTGTAAAGTAGATGGATTTCCATTAACAACAACATTTAAAATAAAGCTAGAACCAACTGCACTTGCCAGAACCATTTTTATTCCAGCACTCACAATGTCAAAACCTGCTTTAGGAGCAACAAAACTGAAAAAAAAGAAATCAAGGTACAAGTATAATTAATCTAAAAACAAAAGTAAAAAAAATGTATATTTTTAGCTTCTTACTCTCTAGTGTCTGGATTAAATCCTCCCCCAAAATCAAAAAATGGACCTGTTCGTATGTATGGCATACCAATAGAATGAAACTACCTCGTTTAGCACAGTTATTGCAAAAAAACCTTATGGTGATGACCTTGTTCCAATAAAACTAGAATGTATTGGGCATTACCAGAAGCGTACAGGGAATCAACTGTATCTTAAAAGAAAAGAATTACGACGGGTAAAACTATCTGACGGAAAAGGGATATATCTCGTAAAGGTGGTCTCACGGATAAAGTAATTAACATCTTACAAAATTATGTTGGAATGGCTATTCGACAAAATTCAAATAGTCTTTTGGAAATGAGGAACTCTGTAATAGCTTCATCTCATCATTGCACTAATTTTACCTCTGAAGAATATCGTCATATGTTTTGCACCAAGGGTGAAAAAAGCTGGTGTAAATGGCAGTCTGATAGAGCAACTGGTCATGTTACATACAAGAAAAAGGTGAGTTTACCCATTGCCATTATGGAAAAGATCAAGCCAGTATTTCAAGATCTAGCAAATACTGATATGCTTGCAAAATGTTTGCATGGCATGATTTAAAATGAAAATGAAGCGTTTGATCAACTAATTTGGAACCAATCCCATAAAACTATATTTACCTCTAAAGTTGTTGTTGAAGTGGCTGTTTACTATGCAACCATTACTTATAATGATGGTTTTGCTAAGTTATCTTCTGTATTTGATGCTCTTACTATTAAATCCGGTAGTTACTTTGAAATTGGTGCAAGTAAAAAAAACTCTATACAGCTAAAAAATATGAACAAAAAAATGTCAGATGAAACAAAAAAAACAACAAAAAAAAAAAGAAAAAATTAAGATCTGTTAGAAAAAATATTTTGGTACGCTATTTGCGACACTAATATAAAAATATTAATTAATCAAAATAATACAAAACTAATCACAAAAAAAGATGAACAGTATCTTCTTGGTTTATTAAAAAATCAAATTAAGTGCAAAAGAAAAATTACAACGTCAGGTTTACCTTCTGCAAAAAACTACAATAAAGGATTTTTACCATTTAGTCTATCATCTACTACTGTGGTTTCTTTAAATGTTGCAGATATGTACTCATTTAAAATTAATGCTTTGTCTGTTAATTCATATTCCATTGGTAAGCCATCATCAAGTTCAGTAACATTCATTGGCGTCGATACTTATGGATTTTCTGCAATGCAGTTTAGAATTAATAGTATTTTTTAAGATCAAAGCAAATGGTATCCCATTAATAGAAATGGAAGTTCTTGGTCATTTGAATATGGTCAGGAATTTCTTTCTAGAGAAGATTATATTGCTGAAAAGTCTGGGTTTTACTTTATTACAGCAAATATAATGTTTGATTAAGCTCAAAATGAAAATGTTTTGCAAATGGTTGTTGTTCTTAATAAAGTTGACAGAG